CGCAGCATCCAAGGGCGAGGGGTTGGGGGGCCCCCCTTGGGGGCCCCCGAGCCTGTGGGGGGCCCCCCAGGGACAGCTGAGTTACCTTGGCATGCATTGGTGCATGCAGAGACGGGGTTGGAGCCGCCCTTCTGCCCGCCGCCTGCTGCAGCTGCTGCTGCACCTGCTGCTGCAAGAGGGGCCCCCGCAGCAGCAGCTGCAGCGGGGGCCCCTCTTCTCTCTTCACGCCCAACCACTGCAGCAGCTGGAAGCAAACGAGCCCCTGTCGATCTAACCCAAACCCCTAGAGGCCCCAGGGAGGGGCCGGGGCCCCCCAAGGCCCCCCCTAAGGGGCCCCCCAAGGGGCCCCCGAAAGGGCCCCCCAAGGGGCCCCCCCGGGGGCCCCCCAAAGGGCCTCCAAAGGGGCCCCCTAGAGAGAGGTCAGTTGCTGCCGCATCAGCTACGGGGGCCTCATCCCCTGTAGCAGTACCAGCAGCAACAACAGCAGCAGCTGCAGCAACAGCAGCAGCAGCAACAGCAGCAGCAGCAACAGCAGCAGCAGCAGCAGGATCTAGGGGCCCCCCTGAACGAAAACGTCGAGTATTGCGGGGTGTAGATAGACAGCTGAAGAAGAAGCCTTCATTCCCTGGTGGGCGTAGCAGGGGGCCCCCGGTCGGTGAGGGGGGCCCCCCCCCTATCGACGATGGGGTTGGGGGCCCCCCCTCTCCTCCCGCCTCTTCTGCAGCAACAGCAGCAGCAGCAGCAGCAGCAGCAGCAGCAGCAGCAGCAGCAGCAGCAGAGGATGAGGATTCTTATGGTTCTTCTCCTATATCTTCTGATGGTGATGATGAAGGTATAGGGTATGTACATGGAGACGAGCTGCTGATAGCAGCAGCAGCAGCAGCAGCAGCAGCAATTCCCTCTCGCACAGCAGCAGACCTAATAAGGGCCCCCGTGCTGCCTATAAGGATAGAAGGAATGCATGCATTGGGGGCCCCCCAGCTGCTGCAGGGACGAAGACATCTACAGAGATATGAATGCCCGCTCTGCTGTGCTGCTGCTTGGGGCCCCAACACCTATCAACAAAACCTAAAACACTATAAACTGCAGCACTGGAAAAAAAGAAAATATCTAGGCGGCTTCGTTTGCTTTCCCTGTAGACTTGTATGTTTTATTTTATTTTATTTTATTTTATTTTTTTTTTTTTGTTTGGGGGCTGATGGTGCTCTTGCTGCTGATCAAGGAATGATGATGGTGCTCTCGCTGCTGCTGCTGCTGCTGCTGCTGTTGCTGCTGCTGCTGCTGCTGCTGA